GCTGAAGTATGTATCGTAACAGTGCTCGGCCACGCCAGTCCCCGACACTTCAGTATTTTTACATTCACGTTCACACAGCCTTACGCCACGCCATGGAGGTTGCAAATTGCAATCACAATGAACATTCTGATCCATATAACATATCAAAGCGCAATCGTCAATGAACAACAGAAGAAACAGAAGTTGGACAGGTAAAGAGTAGTCGGTTGTGTTGAAGACCTGCCTTCGAAAAGTAACATCAAGCCTTTGGCAAAAAATGGGCAGTGCGCCTGTGGACCCTCCATGCCATCAACAGCGAAAGCACGAAACAGAAGTAAAATGAAGCATCAAGGGTCACTCCGCCGTGTTGAAGACGTGACTCAAACAGTAAGAGTAAGTAAAGAATATCAGAAACAAACGTGCAATGCGCTCGTGTAACAACAAAAGGCAGAAAGACAATGCGGGCGCACCTCACTGGCCACCATGCTCAAAAGAATCAAGACCACAGACTGAGACATGCATAAGTCGACCAGATCGACCGATCAATCCAGAACACATCCTGTAACTCAGCACAGGTGGTTACACACAGACGAAGCCATCCGAGACAGATGCCAAAAAATATACTCGAGGTCATCCCTCCGTCGCGACTGCGGGGCTTGCAATGACCACGGTCAGGTCTATAGAAAGCAAACCTGCGCACGGTCAGCGCGCCTTTTCAGGCCTGAGAAGCTAGGAAGGGATGACAGAGCAAGAAAAGGACTCGTCACATACTGACCTCTTATATACTTTTGCTAAGCACCCGATCCGCTCAGCGCGCAGCCTGGGCCTGATTCGCATGCGATGAACACGGCAAAAGTGTTAAAAAAGAAGTGAACCACGGCGCGCGTTCCCAAGTACGGCATTTTTCGCCCCAGGACGAAAAATTACGGTATAGGACGTAAGCGTGATGACAAAAGATTGCCGCTTGCGTAGAGCAGGTCAAAAAAATAGAGGTTGTACGAGGGAATTAAAACGGTAGTAGAAAATCAATAAGACTTTCCGGAAGGAATTGCCCCACCCAAACGAACTGAGCAAGGTCTCCGCATGCTGATCGAACCCTGTAATGTAGAAAGTTGCTGCAAGTGCCTCGACGCAGTTCAGCCACCAAGGCTTGGCGTAATTGGTGGAATTGGTAGCAAACAAGTAGGGAACTACCAATAACCCATCATCAACCAAAGAGACGTGTAAGATAAGAATGGACCTACGAAGTCGTTCGTGTGGGCTGGCAATTTTGGAGAATGGGACGTCGTCTATGCGGTGTAGAAACAACAATACTGAGAGGAACAAAGAAATGCTCCTGACTGTATCTAAAAAGTTGTAGGTCGTGCATTGCCTAGTCTGCGATACTTGAGATGGCAAGTGCATTCGACCCTAAAGGGGAAGCAGGTGCAGCGGAGATCTAGAGGTACGCGCTTCAGCGAAGCGCGAGAAAGCGCAGGTGTGCGCAAGGTACGAAGGCGTGGGAACGCGCGCGCGTATTAGCGCGAAGCGCGGGAAAGCGCGCGCGTGTAAGCGGAAATAAGAGAGACTAAACTTATGTGAAGATATAAGCAAGATAAAGGATGTGAGATGTGTTGTGCTAATGAATAGATTGCTACTGCGACTTTCTAAGTAGTAAGTACTAGGTAAAGTTGGGTGAAAAGTAAGGTTCTACTGCTGGCGCTTATATAGCGCGCCTAAGCGCGCTCATGCGGAGCCGAAGCGCTACCGAGTAGGTATGTAAAAATATATATGAGTGAGAAACTATGATAAAAATAAAGGTGGAACTATGCTAATAAAGGAAATGGAAATATACGCACTAGGGAGCTTGGTGGACAGTGGATGGATGCATCTGGATGGCTGGCGCTATAGGGCGCGCAAGCGCGGGAACGCGCGCGCGCGTATACATTGTGAAGCGCGGGAATGGTGCGCGCATGGCGCGCGTTGCGCGGGAAAGCTGCGCATCATATAGGAATCACTGTGGATGGTACACAGAGTGATGCTGCGAGTTGGTGCTGTATACTCCCTAGTGTAAAGCGCCATATCACACTATGAGATGCACGAGTCTCTACAGCGGGCCCAGGAACATTCAACAACGGCAATACCATCTCGCACAACGATCTCTTTGTCTGCTGGACTCACGACGAGGGTCCCTTTTGGACTGGCAGAAAATATTGATGTTAGTGTAAACGGATGTTTGGAACGGGTAGACGCACGATACGACCACGCCTCAATATTTGGATCCCAGCCTCAGCTCCGTTATAAGACCGAGGTGGGCGAATTTCTTCCCAGAACATCGGCGTGGATCACAATGGTCGAAGTCCTTGATTGTTTGTATTAGAAAAATCGGCTCAGAGCGAATGCCACATTAACGCACGAACATCGCAACAAGGACATCGATGTGCAGTCGCCCGGCTGTGCGCTCATGAGTGATCGTTCGACTACCTTGTTAAATCACTCACATTCATCATCTTCACCTCAGGAATGATTTGAGCTGTCATCTTCGATAATGCTTGAAGGCTTGGCGGAGTCATCAGGGAAGCTAGAGAATGACTGGGATCGCTGAGAAGTTCTCGTGCTCTTATGTCGTTGTGCACGTCCACCACGTCTTGGTCTGTTCACACAGGAAGACGGAGCATTATTTTTGCCCATGATCATGTGTACTGAACTCCTCAAGCTTTCGAGTGAAAAGATGACTTCACACAATGCGCATCAAGTCGGTGATCGCTGCTACAACCCAAACTGGAGTCGAAAGTACCAAGGGTTTTTTTTTGTATATCAACCCATTCACAACTGGGCGTATCACTTATGAAAAAGGAAGCGGTAAAGATGGAGGGTACAAGGATGCCCGGAGGGCCATTGTGAATAGATACTACAACTGGCTGTGACGACTTGTCAGACTCGGAGATAGCCGCTCGAAAGGTAAATCACGATTCACGAGCATCACATGATCCTGCATATGAGCAGTGGATTCAGGCAGCTTTGCAGGGTGTCACAAATAAGATCTACAAGACCATCAAAGAAGCTGCATTGGCTCCCAATGTAAGCTAGTATTTTACCCTCACATGATTTTTTGCTCTAAATTAAGGGTGATGATGTAATGCGTAGGGCTTATTAGGGTTTGCGTGTGGTTTGCGTTGTATTTATTTCTATTTATTCTAGATAGGTCACGAGGTTGGGCGTTAGGTGTTGGGCTTGGGCGTTGGGTGTTCAACTTTGAGCTCCCCTATTAGCACCATCAACACCCCAGTGAAAACCCACTATGGCGTGGCACGATGAGAACGGGCGTATCAAATATGTTTTTTTCTCACCTATGCAAAAAATCAGAGACAAACACATGACGTTGGTAGGAATCACATATAACCTCTGATTGTCCGTGCCTATAATATTTGGTGTCTATGCTACGCCATATTATGTGAGTACTATTACAAATGAGATGTAGGTGCGCCTTATTCCTGAGGTGATATCAAAAAACGCTAAGGACAACTTGATTTAGCTGTATGTTTCATATGGTATACCTTACATATCCATCAGTCAGGGTAGCATTGCGAATGAATCATGGAACTCACCTGAAAAGCGGGCTGGCATCGCCCATGTCTTTGAATTCGTATCTTCTATCATCGCCAATGTTTTCCGCCAGACACTGCGCTTCTTTCTTTCTGTTCAGCCGGTCGTAGTTCCCCATAGCGAAGATACAAATGATGATTCTATTAGAAGATCATGTTATCATGTTGCAGTTCGGAAGACTGATGAGACATACGAAAGAGAAAGAAATCCCATGTTGGTGCCATGTCCGATGTGGAAACGTGGCGGATCGATATAGATGAAGGACGAGCAGACACTAAGACAAGCATGAGCAGGCAAATAATTTGTACTTATGATAGTACGACGTACCCTCCTAGGTTACTAATACCAATGACCATTGCTAGTACGACTCCACGCTTTAAGTCGCCTCCCGCATTTGAGCCTGCCCAAGCAAGAATGACTGCGACGGTCGGATAATTTCCTGCAGCAGCTAGACAAACTCCGACGTATGATGGACCAGCTTGTACGGAGCAATATAGTAAGATGTATCCCACAAGAGACACGACCGCACCGCCGATGATGTACGGGCCACGAAGATTGTGCTTGTCAGAATGGATTCCGACTATGATTGTTGCGATAGCGCCGGCAACAAATGGTGGGACTGAGAGAAGCTGGGCATTCGCAGCAGAGTAGCCAAGCTCGTTGATGATGGTTGGCGAAAAGAGGGCGATGGCATAACCGGGGATAAGTAACCTAATGATCAATTCAGACAATGCATACAAGATGACAGAAGGACTGAGTACCCTAAATAAATGAGAATTTGGACGTAGGTCTTGTAATCTTGCATGGCTTGCCAGACGAATTGAGTGTCGAAGAGAGAGGAAAGAGAATTCGAATCGTGTTTGAGCACATCTATGATGTATAGCCCCATGTAATTCTCATTCTTAAATTTCTAACCATGATGTGACTGGGCATTGTTCCCGGCGAAAGTTGTCTCTGGAAGGTGAATGTTGCAGATCATGTTAATTTCTATTGCCATACAGGACATGCCAGGAATAAGTAAGTCGATCGGGGGGCGTACTGTATAGTTCAACCGTTTGCTCGTGAATACGCTCACCAAGCCACACAAACCAACAACCCAGATATCTCCGTTAAAGTGATTGCTGTGGATGATCATATGCATACAAACAATATAATGTGTACTCTATCTTGCGGGCGTTTCAAGACAGCAAGATCGGCGGCGGCTAATCAACGAATGAAAAAGCTGTGTGCAACGGCGAGCGCACATACGACCGAACATACAACGAATCCGAGAGGATAGCCTGACGGATCGTCTTTGATGCCAGCCGACCAAAGCTATATTGTGTGTAAGGATGACATTGTACCACTGGAGCGCAGAGCTGGTACTCACGTATCCGCCAAGAACAGGTCCAAAACAACGTGCGAGACTGACTATACTTTGTGCGACACCGTTGGCAAAACCAACGGCATGCGGGGGTGTCACTATAAACACCGTCAATGGGAACCTCATCCTCGCACAAGCTCAATAAACGCACTATAATTAAGGAGGATGGATATGGCGGTGTAACCAAACGTGTTTCCGCAATAACGTATAGCTCTGCATGTGTGTCAGCAATGCTCAGGTGAACTGTCCAGATGTCACTCACGTGCTCAGAGCCAGCGCTGACATAAATGAATTAGCTATGGAACAGGAGGGATAAAGAAATCACATCATACCTGCCATAAGAACGAAACTTCCTTGGTCATTAGAACTTGCGAAACCCCGATACATAGTGACAGTAAGGTATGCAGGTATAAATAGCAGGGACCCGAGACGAAACATTGCAAGGTGGGAGAAGCGCCCTCGAGGGGGTCTACGAGCAAGTGCCATCAGGGGTTGTTGTACAAAGAGTCAGAAAGGACTTGCCCAATGTTTCTGAGAGTAACAAGTCAGCAGAGCGATAATCAAAATATAAAGTAGCCATACGGATAGAGATAAAACTGGTATACAATCTGTGCGAGGCACATGAGAGCAACTGCAGGACACTATCAGTAAATCCCTTGTATCCAGTAACTCAACTCATACTAAGCTGGGAGAAATGCCCAGGATTGAGGTTCAGACCTCCCGACTCGTAGTCGCTGATTAGAGGTCAGTAAGATGCGCGCAGTACCACCCAGACTACGTACGTAACAAGATATGACAAGAACACCTGATCGTGTGTCGTGCTGTGAAGTGCTAGCAAACCGTACTGGAGGATGACAACCAGAGGCAGCTGCGAAGTCAAGGATGGAGGCTTCCCTTGAGGAATCTCTGACTCTGTGACAGATTGCCTGTGTTCCAGAATTGGTAGTAGTGGATTGTCACCAGCGGGCTCCTGGGCACGGGCCTGGGCATCGAGGACGATAGATGGCGTACGCACTCCAGGGTGCGAGAATATCGACGGGGAACGCAATGCGAACGGTACCCCATCCGGTGCGGGAGAACCCATCATCGCTGAGTGCATGCGTGAAGATTGCCCAAATGTCATCACAGATGAGCGTTGGCCGGGACTGCCGATCGCGCTTGTGAGGTTGCGGCCAATAGAACGCCCTCGATGTATAGGAGATGATGTGATAGAACCTGGAATGTCTTCATGTCCAAAATACTCCGAGTCGACGTTCATATCTAAATCTTGTTCAGGTTCAAACGTTTCGTCATTATCCACATTCATTGCCGCTGCTACCCAAAGATCAGCGATATTTGTGACTGCGTTCTCGTTTGCCATTAATAGTCTCTGAGCAAAGTTGAGGTCGCCGGGATCCGTGAATGATGTCGGTCCCTCGAATGCACTCCCGTGCCTCCTTCTTATAGTGCTGGCAGTGCTCACACGCCTCGCACCAAGCGTGGTCGTACTGACCGTGCTTGTGGCCCTATTACCTCCCCCATAACCATACGCGGATCCATTGGCACGGGTGATCCTCGAGAAATTGCGCGGGCTGTCCATTGGCAGCGATATAGACGTCGTCAATGGCACTGGCAGCGATGGCGTTTCTTGTGCGGTGACTGAATCTCGAGATCCAAAATAACCAGACAGTTGACCGGATACTTTCCGTGTAATAGAGCGCACCAACCCAGACTGTGGAGTATCGTCAAGGGTGCTGGGTGTGGCGATATCTTCCTCCTCTTGAATGGTCGGGTGTCGATCTTCAGGTTTTTCTAGTGGTAGCCGAATTGCACCATCCCGCGGTCCGCCGTCACGGCCCAAAAACAGGGACAGGAACGACCCTGTTGAATAAGTGAGTGATTGCGTGATATTATCTTTCTGAAAACGCACCTGTCAATGTGATGCTGGCAGCCACTGCGCACGGAAGTAGGTACGGGTACTCCACCAGTAGCGGTACTTGGCCAAACACACTTGGCCACTTGTCTGCAGGCTTCTCAACTAATCGATCGTCAGTGAGACTAGTATGCCTTTGCAGAAGACACTCACATGATCCTCCAATGATGGCGCCCGCCACACCACCAAGTCCCCAACAAAAGCTGGTCATGATATCAGTACCAGGATCTCAACCAAATGATTGGTACTCACCCCATGATAGCGTATGCCCTCCCCTCGTTCGTCGTGTCCGTCACCGTAGCAACGCATCCGCGTGCCACTCCGACAGCGCCAGCAAATATTCCTTGTAACAGTCTCACCGTGATCGCTTGCCGCAGGGATGTGCAAGTCCCAAAAAGCAACACCGTCACTGCACTTCCAAGCAAGGACAATGTCAGCACCAATCTACGACCATGTCTATCTGCTGCGGTTGCCTATTACTCCGAATTAGAGTCAAACAAATGATGACGTTGGTGCGGAAGAAGGAAAATGGACATACCCATAATAGTGAGGTCAGGAATTGCGTTAAGAAGAACGCGGACACTAGGGTAGCGTTAAAGACAGTCCAACACTACAGACGCTTAGCAAGAATACCAAGTATGCCAGTCCAAAAGGCGATCTGTGCTTCGTCGTTGAACTCTCCAAATCCTGAATTCGAGTTTGTTAGTGGGACGGCAACGATGTCATATATTATGACGCACCTTTAACCATGAAAAGGAGAAACGGCATGGCGACATTGGCAGAGAGAAACTCTCCAAGCATGGTCTTGGCGCTTGATCAGTTATATCACGAAGGTGCATGCAGATACTTACGATGGACAGCACAATCATAGATAGTGCAGGTAACGGAGTCGAGTCGGATTCGCTACCGCGAAGAGCGTTGGGTATTGGAGGTCTTTCAAGTATTGGAGACTTGATAGCACTCTCCACGTCTGTGTTTGTCCTCCAACGCGAGACAAAACTCTGCTTTCGATGGATCTGACCGCCTGACGCTCGTCTTGTGCTGCGCTCTGGCCCAGAAGGGTCGTCATCCTGTTCAGTGTCATTCCGCATACCAAAAAACCTTCTTGGAGGCGCGTTTAAAGATCGTGAGCTGCCGACGTTTGGCGGTTGGAAGGATATCCGGGTGGTCATGATGAATATATATGTCTTTGAGTGTCTCTGTCCAAGACTCGTCCAAGTCGCAATAGAACGTAATGAATTTCCAAAAAAGGAAGGTACTATGCTGTGTGCACCACACAGTGTCCGCTCGCAAATTCTTTTTTTTTTTTTTTTTTGGAAAAGCGGGTCTATTATTTAGCAACTGACGCTGTCTAGCTCTAAATAAACGCTTATAGCGGCGCACTGGCGCCGTCCGAGGAAAAATGCTACTTATGCACACTCCATTCCTGGGAGTAGTGTGGGGCTCCGTATACTACCTGGACACCTCGGTCTGCGGGGGCCGGGGTAGTTTAATACCCACTAAAACCTCTAGGGCGGTTACCCAATCTTTTCCTGTACTATATTTGTCGTTGTTTGTTGTGATTACATCAGCCCATGTATGGTATACTTGTGATGTCGTCTTGGTTGATCGTTTCGTTTTGCACGCTACCACTCTGTCTAGTTGTAGCCTATTGTTTATAGTATTCGTCCACCGTGTTATGGTATGTTCATCGGTATGTGCTTGTTCTCGGATGACGCGCTCACACCTTATTACCCATATAAGATAGGCCGACTCTGATATCAAGATTCTTAGGAGGCGTGATGCCCCTTTTATTATCGCGGCGCATTTCTTGTCATTGTCATCTCTGTTTGGTGCGTTTTTCGGGAGTGATAGGTTGCCACATCCTAAGATGAGTCCTAGGGACGGTTCAGGCCACGGGCCATGTTTCTCCGGCCAAAGGTTTTTCGCTAGGTGCCATATTCTCTTTCTTATTGGGTTTGTGCATTGAATTAATATATGCTCCATCGATTCTGGTTCTTCTCCGCATGATTGGCATCGCGCTCTGTGTCCGAGATTGGGTAAATGTGTCCAGAAATCTCCAATTCGGAATGCATTATTTAACGTTTTATATAGGAAGATTTGTATTTTCTTGGAGATGTCGTTGTTCCTGCATCCTCGCCATATCGTTTCATCCGTCTCTAGTGTGGTCGTTAATGTTTCAATGGCGTATCTAGTGATATCCAGCATGCCTAAGGTTGGTCTTTTGTAATCTATGTGTTTCTTCGTCATTAACGCTCTATAAGCAGTCTTTTGGTCTACTTTTGACAGTTTTGCACCCTGGAGGTCGAAGTTCCGAGGGACGTATGTATCTATGATGTCGGTGGTTATTTTTGATGCGCCGTTTTGAGCAAGGTGATCTGCTTTCTCGTTTCCTGTCACTTGACTATGTCCCTTGACCCATTGGAAGCTAGTTGGCGCCGATCGTCGGCGTAGTTGATATGCTATAGCTTTGAATATTTGGGCGTTTGCCACGTTGATCCACCCGGCGTTCTCCCACTCGTCAAGGTGGGTGTTTAGTCCGTTTATTACATATTTAGAGTCTGTTATTATTTTGACAGGTGTTATTGGGTTTGCGTTTTGCAGGGCTACTAGTACTGCCACAAGTTCACCTATTTGATTTGAGTGGTGCGTTCCAGGCATGCTGATTTCTCGGTTCATTGGGTGATGTTCTTCAATCCAGATTCCTCCTCCGCACTTTGCGTTGTATTTGCCGTTGTTGATGCAGGAGCCATCCGTGAATATGGTGAGAGTGTCGTCGATTGTCTGTCTTCCGTTGAGAGGGACACGTAGTCTGTATGCAGGTATTTCAACCGGTCTTGATGGGTCTACAAAGATGCGGAAGCAGTCCGTCAGACTATTCCGTATTGTGATAGAAGGGTTGAAT